TACGCAGTATTAAAAATCTGGATGACCCTCAACCTTCCAATTCCTTCCCTACCATCATCAGTATAAAATACGCACACTTTCATTAATGATATTTTACTTATATTCACCATTTAGTTCATATGGGTCGTTTTGCACTTCCAAATTTCATTATCTCCCTCGACGGAGTGTTGTTCCATCTTCTCTCCCGGTGTGTTTATCCCTCGGTTTTGGTAAATTAGGTGAACTAAAGTACTTAATTTGTATTTTCCAAAAAAAGTACTTAATTTGTATATTTCATTATTTGCTTTTAGTTTTGGTTTTCCTATAGCTAATGTGTGAAATCCGTAGATAGTGGCTAATAGATTCAACCAAACAGCAGCTATGATTGATGGATTTGCGGATATTTGAGCGAAGTTTTGTACTCCTTTAAACATGCGATGTTGCTGGACACATTGAGGTGGTTGAAGGTAATTATGATATTAACAAACCTTTTCTTAAGGATGCATGATACATACGGAGTATAATTTAAGGATATTTTTATATGTATGCTCTGACCGATTGCTTCCATTCGATCTCCTCGCTGTCGTCCAAATTGATCTCTTTGTTTTAGTGATTGCATTAAAAAAAACTTAATAATTCGTGCTAAACCTTATTCATTTGCATCCGCTATTAGGCACCACTCATGGGTATTTAAGCGCAACAGTAGTTCTAAGCTTTACCCCATTATGATTCCAGATATTTTCCCAGAAATTGCACTTCCAGATATGGGGTCGGCTAACATGTGGTCTTCTAGGCACCTGCCCAAATCACCTCAAACGAGACTCCTGCATCTCATCTTCTATAGGTGTTACTCCCACAGTCTCACCTTTTGTCTGATTATCCTCAAGCGGTATTTTCCTCAAGCGTTATTTTCCGGTATCCCCATACATCCAACGCAACATGCGGTAATTAGTCTTATTTAGAAAATAAAGATATGACAGTCTTAGAGGCTGTTTGCCAACAATGTTTTTCAGCTTATCAGACTTATCAGTCAACTTTTTCACCAAACATGTAATCTTAGTTTTCGCGCGCTGAATTGTGTAATAAGCAGAAAAAGTAAGGTTTGAGTTACTTTTCTGACTATATTGGATGAAGTTACTGTAGATGACAATTTTAGCTATTTTTAAATATAATTTTTTCTTTATTTTATTAATAAAATATATCTTAAAATATTTTTTTTCTTAAATCAGCAGAATCAGTCAATACAGCCACTTCAGCTAAAACTTCATAAATTTCAGCAGAATGAGCCAAATAAGCCGATTTTCATGCTACCAAACGGGCTCTTAGTTTGAAATAGACAAACATATTTACTTCTATTTAGGGTAATTTAAGGGGAGGCAAATATGCAGAGGGTTGGTAATTTCTTTTGTCATCTAACTATTTTCTTTTATTTCTTTCTTCCTCATTTAAAACAAACTAATTACTATTGTTTTAAAAAAAATTGGAGAAAATCGTAAAAGTATGAGGGCTGGGCGGTAAATTGCCGAGTGCAAACTCTAATATCATTAAAGGGTGGTGGTAATGTAGGTGCTCCAGCCTGCCAAATCCTCAATTAGAATCCCCATACCAACTTATAAATTTGGTACCCATTAGGTATTTGAGGATTAAAACTTTACTGCCCCTAGGTTTGTTTATTGGGTTCAATATTTAGCGTGTAGCCCCAGTCACATATGCTATAATCTTACAGCTCGAACTCATTATGAAATTTTCAATTACTAAAGCTTTTGAACTGTGTCACTCATAGGCACCTTCTGTTATTCCAAGTATCATATTCAGGTTAACTTTCTTCATAATCAACTTATTAATTCAATAGGCACCATGTAATACGAACCCTGAGTAGCTAGGTCAGTATTGTTTATGACTTGCATCTTGTTTGTTTTATTTTACAGGTCAGTGGGTAGATTGAGAAGTGCAACAATATATCCCTATATTCTTTTAAATAAGGACAACATCATGACTTTCACTACTTTACGGAAAAAATTAAGCACCATGTTCTTTTTCCCATTATTTCATTTAAGTTATTAACTACACCATAAGGCAATTGCTCACATTTGTAACATTGTAGCCATTTTATTTATGCAATACATTCTATTAATTGTAATGTACAAATTAAAAACCTTGTGTGTGAGACTTCATACAAATAGTTGTACAGAAACAATAAGCTATCTCAATATTTATGCTATTTAAATCACATTGGGCATTTTCTCATCGCGCAACGGGCGTCACAAAACTAGTACATGTATAAGTTTTTTGGACTGATTCAGCACCGTCAATATATTTATTGAGCACATTTTCTAATTGAACGCATAAATCCTTTAAAAAAAATGAATGCATAAATCCCCACTTTTTATTGGATACATATCATATAGGAATAAGGGTCAGTTTGGTCCTCAAAGTTGCAAAAAAGGGGTCAAATAAGTCCTTATATAGAAAATTCTGTCCGGACGTGCCATTTGAGGTGGCTCCCGGTGGAAGTTTTTGATTATATTTTTTGAGCATCTTATTCATTAAGTCTAGTTTACTCATACCAAATTTCAGATAAAAATTCAATCCGGAAGACATTCAAATGAATTCTTGAAGATAACTGTGCCGTTAAAAGCGCAATAATCTTCAAGAATTCATTTGAATGTCTCCCCGATTGAATTTTTAGCTGAAATTTGGTATGAGTAAACTAGACTTAATGAATAAGATGCTCAAAAATGTTCATCAAAAAATTCTACCGGGAGCCACCTCAAATGGCACGTCCGGACAGAATCTTCTATATAAGGACTTATTTGACCCATTTTTTGCAACTTCGAGGACCAAATTGACCCTTTACTCATAGCATAGATGTGACAATTTTTTTTACCAATAATTATAATTTAAAAAGTCAAATATTCTGGTGTGAAAAAAAATGTGAATTACTCCGTATATTTTAAACATTAAAAAGCACACTTGAGTTCAATTTGAAATAAATTTAATAAAACACACAATATTACATTATTTTCTATATTGATATGTTATTAAATTTTCATTTTAATACTATGTACTTGTTGAATATTAAAATGAATCAAATATTCAAGTATCAAAGTACTACAATTGCCAATAAAAAATACTCAAATACAAAGTACTAAATATAAAATACAAACATAATGAAAAACATTGCATTAATTTTTAACTATGAAATTAAATAACAAAAATTCAAATAAAACATTAGTCATGCAATCATCCTTGCATGCCCTAGTCAAATCTAGGAAAGTAGTCATGTCCAGGTGTGAGAGTGGCGGCATCGCTACTCGGGGCATCTTGATCATAGCCCAGAATGGCAATTTATTGTTCTATTAACCATTTCTCCTTCCTCGGTAAGTACTAAATTAAGTTCATTGTTACGACGTCTATATTCTTCAATCTTCAGTCTCATAGTCACATTAGCATTCACCTTTGCCACCACCATTTGCCTTTCGCAAACTCCCCTTCCATAAAAAACATTGGTGGTTGATAGTCTTGAAGTGTGACTCAACTGCGTTCCGAGAGTGTTGTTTTTTTACATAACAACCTATGAACTCGAGACCAAAATAAATCTCTCCCTTGATTGATACCAATTGCACCATCTACAAAAATAGTCGCTCAAGAATTACATAACACCACGTCTTCATTGTAACTCCAATAAACATCTCTTTTTTGTGAAGACATCTTATTAACACTAGTATAAAAATTGCTAAAGAATAAAATAAAAAGAAGATTGAGAATGAAGATTGAGGTGTATTGAAATGAAAGTAGGAGTAGTGTTTATAATAGGACCACAACGTTCCCATCAGGCACCAAAGGACCAAAAATCAACACTGAATGTATGGTGGTTATTGGTGGAACTGTAACACCGGACCTGAATTTTTCTGTGAGAATTTTTTTTCCATCAATTACTGAGATAAAAAAGGTAAACCAAGACTAAAATAAGAAAGTAAAATTTTGTCTTAAATTAATAAAGGGTTATTAATTTAGACGTTGGACCACTCGTTATATTCTAAGTTTATTTATAAAATATAATTAATATTTACCAAAATGATATTATTATGATAGTAGGGATGGGTCATGGACCCCAGTGATATAAAGAACGACAACTAGATGGCCAAGCGGGCCGGAGTCACTATCCGATAATTGTGAATCATTAATTATCGGGCTGATAATAATTTGGAAGGCTACGAATTAATAACAAAAGGAATATAAATATTTTAAGAACCCAAAATATGGGATGATGGATAATAATGAGTAACTTGACATATTAGAGGTGGGTACTTTTGGAGGACCCTACCTTGAAGATATTTTCGTATAAGAATAAACAGATAAGATTTTATCTGCTAATACAGTTCGGACCACTTAAAAATGAGTGTAACATTTTATTAAAGTGTCACAAAATATGAAAACACATATTTAGTCATTAGGAATGATGAATGAATTTTTAAAGCAACGTGTTCTCATTTCTTACTGTTACTTGAACAGTAAAATGCACGTTGGGCCCACACATGGGCGGGGACCATCCGATATTTACGGACCACATATTATATTCATCTTGGTCTAGATAATATTTATATGAGGGTGTAAATAAATGTTGAGCCATAAAGTTGGCCTTTCGATCAAACGAGGTCCCATTTCCGGTATAGGTAATTAAACAGATAACAGCCCGAAATTTATTTCGGCGACCACGAAATTAAAGTGGGATAATATATATTCATTCTAGAGGCCCATATTAATTGGAAGCATGATATATATTTTATTTGACCCGATAAAATGAAATTTAATTAAAACAATCCAGAAAATACAACTTTCGGGACCGAATGTACACTTCGGGACATATTGGCATGACCTCCCACATGAGTGGGGGCCACCCCACGATTTTTGGTCTAACAATAAGTGTTGTGAGCATAGAAATGAGGTGTATGATGGATGAAGGGACGGGTTAGACAAGTTTGAAAGGTAGAGGGACCCTCTCACATTACTAATTGGCCTTTTGAGACAAAAATTGTCTCTTCACCCTCTCTCCTCTCATTAGTTCGTCCAAGCCAACCCAAAGAAGAAGAAACCTCTGCAAAACTTCATTCTCCATAGTCATGAACCGAGCTCAAGGTTGAAGAAGTCTCAAAGGAGAAGAAAAGCTTGGAAAAGAAGAGAAAAACTTAAAAAAAATCAAGGTAATGACGTACTTCATTAGTATTTTTCTTCCTTAATTTAATATCATATGATTTTAAAAATCATATGATGGAACCTTAATCTTGTTCTACACTTCTAGAGGTGTAGAATGAGGATTTGGAAGGTTAAGTTTAACCATAAACGGAGTTATGGCCGGAGTAAGACCGGTTCACCGGAAAACACCTTCTCGGAAGGTTTTGATGTTTATACAATTTTTTGTTGTGAAACCTTGTTAAGAATTTTACCAAGGTAATCTATACTTCTCAAGGAATCTAGGAGTGGCCGTAAAGTCGCCAGAGCCGCCGGAGTTTTCGCCGGAAAATTCAAAAGTCGCCGGAGTTCAAACAAAGAATATAAGCTTGCTAGCGTCATTTCAAGGTGAGTGGACGACTACGTGTCTTGTAACTCTTGGTTTGAAACGTGGGATTACCTAAACAAAATCATAACCATGATTTGAGAAATGATTAAATGTATTAAAACGCATGATTAGTCATGGTGAATATGACTAATGGAAAAATAGATTAATTTATTAATTAATCATGAATATATTTTTCTCAGATATATAAGAAGGTATATTTGGACCATGCATGAAACTAACTAGAGTAATCTAGTACATGAATAAATGAAAAGATATGTGAACTTGTGATTATCCGTACTAAATATGGATTATGGAAATATTATATGATTAATGAAAAATAGATTAATTTATTAATTAATATGAGTATATTTTTCTTAAATGAATAAGAAGGTATACTTGGACTATGTATGTGATTAACTAGAGTTATCTAGTAAGGGAATATAAAAACATATGTGATATTGTGATTAGTCACATTAATTATAGATTATGGAAATATGACATAATTAATGATTAATCAATTAATGGTATGAATAAAAGGTTGTAAGAAAGGATCATGAGCCATGCTTTGGGCTTGGGCATGAGATTACTCAAATAAATCAGAATGATATTCCATGAAATGATAAAATACATCTAAGAATGTATCAAGCCAAAATTTACTTATTAATGGTATTAATAAGTATACTTTATATGCTTTAATTTGGACAGAAAATGATTATAAATTATGTGTGACGATTTGAACGTCCAAAATAATATTTTTGGACTAAGAATGACTTGTTGTATAAGTGTATAAAATTTTGTGGAAATCGGACCCCGTTGGATGGTGAAACGGGTGTTGACCAAAATGTTATGGCGTTGACCGGCGCCGATTGGACTAGGTCCGGCGCCGGTTGGGTGATTTTTGCGCTGGTTGAGAAGCGCCGGTCCAAAACAGGCATTTTGGCCATCTATAACAGAGATGACCGGCGCCGGTTGTCACAGGTCCGGCGCCGGTTACGCGTGTTTTTGCCGGCCAAGTGAAGGAAGTCCGGCATCGGTGGACTGATGTCTGGCACCGGCTGGATCGGTTTTCCGAGCAATGTGTGCCTAATGTCCGGCGCGGGTTGGGGAATGTCTGGCGCCGGTCGGAGCTACTTAATTCCAAATAATGAATTCGAGCGGGTAGTCGGTGCGAGGCTAGCCCGTGGTTTGATTGTAACACCGTCCCCAAATATATTTACTTTTGTGTAAATAATGTATTGAACCTTATTAAAGGATTAATGAATTTATGAAGTTGTAAATTTTTTATTATTTTTTTCGCGTGGATAGTAAATTGCACGTGGGACCCACACCGGGAGCGGGGGCCGCCCGACACTCCCGAGACCACATATTTTATTCATCTTGGTCAAGATAATATTTATATAGTGGTGGATATTTTATTTGGGTCGTGGAAAGGCGCAGGGTTGACCGATCGGGAAAAGAGGCCCAATTACTGGTACCGACAATTTAACAGATAACAGCCCGAAAATAAATTTCGGAGGCTTATAAATTAAAGTTGGGGAATGTACATTCATTATACATGTCATAATGAGTAAGAGCACATAATATATTTTATTTGACCCGATAAAATAAAATATATTTAAACAGTCCGAAAAATACAACTTTCGGGGCCGATTGTACACTTCGGGACAAAAAGGGTTGACCTCCCACATGAGTGGGGGCCAACCCACGATTTTTACCACTCATAGTTGAAGGTTGGTCGGCTGGTATAGGAAGGGAACATGGGAAGAGGTTTGATAGGAAGTAAATAGCATCAAAGGTACCTAGGTGGACCCCCATTTTTGCACTCATTGGATCAATGAGACAAAAGTCCATCCCCATCCCTCTCCCCCCTCCCTATCTCGGCCAAGACACAGCAACCAAGAGCAAGAAAACTCCTCATCCTCCTCCCTCCATTGTTGAAGAGAACTCATCAAAGAAGAATCACCCAAAAAGGAGCTAAAGTGCTAAAAGTGTGAAATAATTAAGGTAATGACCTTATTATAACTTCTTCTCTATTTTCCTTCTACCGTATGAGATATATATCATGTGAAGCATCCTTAAGAGGGTTCTACATGTTATAAGTATGGATTTATGGGTTGGAAGGTGGTTCTACGTCCAAGAACGGACGTAGAAGCCAAAACGACCGGTTCACCGGAAAATAACCTTTTTGAGGTTATTTGTATTAATATGGGTTTTATGATTATAAAACCTTGTTAGGCACTTGTAAAGGGTATTTCAAGTGATTTCACAAGTTGAAAAAAGTCGCCGGAGTTGTCGCCGGAGTTGACCAAGTCGCCGGAGCTTCACCGGAGTTCAACCAAGAAGGGTAGAACTTCTTAACGCTAGTTCAAGGTGAGTGGACGGCTTAATATCTTATAACTTTTGGGTTAATTATGAGATTACCTAAATAAATGTTATATGTGTTCAAAATGATGTTTAAAAGATATTTAAACATGTGATTAGCCAACATTATCAAGTTGTATGAAAAGAATTAATTGATTATGCATGAAATATGATATGAGAAATTATATAAAATGCACATTTGCTTGAAGTGTAAACGAAGCTCAAATGAGCATTATTGACTTAATTATATGATGATTAAGTTGATATGTACAAGGCTTGAATTGGCGGTCAACGACAACGTTGACCGATGGATGATGGATTAATTAATATCGGTTGATGTTAGTTAATTATACATTTATATAAATGCATGGCTTTGCATGGATAGTGATACATAAGATTTATGTATTGGATTAGTTATGAGTAACTAAGGATGATATAGACTCTATCTAGGTTGATAGGAGGTTGATCATAGGAAAACTTGGTGGAGGACCCTAGTACTTAAAAAGTACTTAACACTCAAACTTGGTGGAGGACCCTAGTACTTAAAAAGTACTTAACACTCAAACTTGGTGGAGGACCCTAGGACTTAAAGTCCTTAACACTCAAACTCGGTGGAGGACCCTAGTACTTAAAAAGTACTTAACACTCAAACTTGGTGGAGGACCCTAGGACTTAAAGTCCTTAACACTCAAACTCGGTGGAGGACCCTAGTACTTAAAAAGTACTTAACACTCAAACTTGGTGGAGGACCCTAGGACTTAAAAGTCCTTAACACTCAAACTTGGTGGAGGACCCTAGTACTTAAAAGTACTTAACACTCAAAACTTGGTGGAGGACCCTAGGACTTATGAGTCCTTAACACTCACAAACCGGTGGAGTATCCAAGGATTTTGATCCTAAAACTCATAGATTATGATATACAAATAGGGACAAGGAGGAGTTCTATACACTCATAGGTATATGGATGGGTTGGGGTTTTTAGTCAAGAATATTGACTATTACTATTTTTCCCGAATAAAATGGTGATCTACGGATCGGATATTTTCCAAGTACATATATACTAATAAGTATTTCATAACTTGGGGGAAGACTATTTACTTAAGTATCACCCTATGTTAGGGTCTTATACTTGAAACGCTAGTTATTCTATATTTAGCCTGCTACTCGCTCGGTACTTGTACTGACCCCTTCGGGGGGCCCCACCATTTTCAGGTTGAAGCTAGGGCTTGCTACCTGCACCTTTCTACGGGTGACATCAAGTCAAGGAAGACGTGGTTCGTGCTTCCTCATTTCCTTTCAAATTACTAAACATTGCTCATGGATATTTTTATTTGTTATAAACTACTTTTGGGGCTTGCATGCCCATGTTGTTGGCCGGTTGTGGCTAATGACTTACCACTGAATATTTCCGCTATTCATTGGTTTAAATGTGATGTTGTTATGTATGTTTACTACTGAGTATGGATGGATTGTTTTCTCAAACGCCTTGTGTAATTAAGTGAGGTTGACTCGCGGGTGACGTCACTCAATTATACGGCGGTTGTACACGTGCTTGGATCGCGGTCTGGGGCGTGACAATTAAGTGGTATCAGAGCCATCTCAGTTCTAAACTATATAATCAACCTCTCACAAAAGATTTTGCAAAAGAGATTTTACCGAAAACCATGAGCATTGTATTTTGACGTTTATAGGACTATTGGTGCTTAAGTTGCAAGGCCTGTAATTGTTAAGATGGTACCCTTAACAATTGGTATGGTAGTGACTTGGGCCAATACGTGTCTGTAACGTTCTTCCGTCAATTGACATTTATAGGAGTCTAATGACTCATCCATGTTTCTTTCAGAAATGGAGGGCAGGCGAATGGGGACCAGGAACAATCCGAGGGGGCAGGCGCCGATAGCATCCCAACGGGGAAGCCGAGCTGCATCTCGGGGTTCGAGAGGAGGCCGTGGAGGCCGTGGAAGCCGTGGAGGTCATCAAGCTCAAACTGTGAGTGATGGCCATGTAAGCTCGGTGTATGAAACCAACACCGAGGACTATGACTCAACCTACGTTCCAGAAACGGAGCATGAGGAGACCCCGTATGATGGGGGGGATACATACACCGATGATGACGATGAGAGTGACGCCCGGTTCGCCCAAATGGGTGAATTACTTGAGTGGTATCAAAAAGAGAAACTGAGGAGAGACCTTAGGCGCCAAGCGAGGCGTGGCTCTCGGGGAGGTTCGGGTCAAGGAAGCCGGGGAGCTTCCGTGGCCACCCCAGCGGCGTCACAAGGTGGGCGTGAAGGAGGTTTTGTTGTGAGAATCTCCAAGTACCTCAAGGAGGCTAGGGCCTTGGGGTGTAGGTCCTTTGACGGCACCGGTGACATTACCATTGCCGCCGATTGGATTAAGAAGGTGAAGGATGCATCAAGGGACATGCAAATCACACCGGACGTGAAGTTGACTGTCGCTTCACGGCTACTTGAAGGGATAGCTTCTACGTGGTGGGAGAGCGTGGAAGGGAAGTACCATGGGGAAATAACATGGGCGGACTTTGAGCTAGAGTTCTATGCTCAATACTACTCCGAGTACGAGGTGAATGTGAAACGGAGAGAGTACACTAACCTTAAACAGAAAGAGGGCGGCACAGTTAAGCAGCTGGAACAAGAGTTTAGAACCTTGGCTAGGTTCTTACCAGAGTACGCGGTTGATGAGAACCGTATGACGGAGCACTTTTGGGATGCCTTACTCTTAGACATCCGCGATCGGGCTACGTACTCGCGCCACATGACCTTTAGCGAGGTGGTGGAGCAGGGCCTTCTTGGGGAGGCCCAATGGAATGAAAGAAAAGAGAGGGACGCCGAAGAGGCGAAAAAGAGGAAATGGCATGGTTCGGGGCCGCCCGAGCAGGCACGGAGGGATAAACACGGCGGAGGTGGGGGTTCGTTCAAAACACCGGCACCACCGGCAAAGAAGAACAGGGATGCTCGGTGGCATGCATCCTCCTCCCAAAAGACGGGACCCCCTAGGTGTGCTAATTGTTCGAAAAATCACTTTGGGAAATGCAACGCACCCCCGAGGTGTTATCAATGTGGGAACACGGGCCACATGAAGGGCAATTGCCCACAACTAGGGGGAGGAGGAGCTCCGGGATCCGGAGGAGGAACCACGACGGGAAGGAACCGTGCGGGGCCGTCAAACGGCGGCACGGGAAGAGGCGGCGCATCCACAAGCCATGCCGCATCCGTCAACCAAGGTGGGACCCAAGCCCGAGTGTACTCGATGACCGAGGCGGATGCGAGAGCAAACCCGGACTCCGTTGCAGGTAATACACGTATTCCCATGTATTTCTAGGCTTACTTTGATCATATACATCGTTGGGAGTGAGTGCGGGCCACCCCGGGGTTGAACCGGGGGAATTTCGGACAACTTTGGCCTGCTAGGACCCAGGCACGATCGTGCCTAAGGCAGGCACGATCGTGTCTACAGGCCAGTAGCTATCTGCGGTTTTTCCCAACCCAGGCACGATCGTGCCCGAGGCAGGCACGATCGTGTCTACGGGTCAGTGGCGATCCGCGTTTTTCCAGCCCAGACACGATCGTGCCTAAGGCACGCACGATCGTGTCTACGGGTCAGTGGCGATCCGCGTTTTTTCCAGCCCAGACACGATCGTGCCTAAGGCACGCACGATCGTGTCTACGGGTCAGTGGCGATCCGCGTTTTTCCAGCCCAGACACGATCGTGCCTAAGGCACGCACGATCGTGTCTGCAGTGCAGTAGCTCCCTGGCTTCCTCCCGAGCCAGGCACGATCGTGCCTACCCCAGGCACGCCGTGCCTGGCACCCAGAATGCCAAAAACCGAGTTTTTCGCACCTTTTCGCGACGTTAAGACCTTTTCTTGATCAGTAAGGTGGGTGTGAACATTGTAACCTTCTTTAAATGAGTAAGGAGGGTAGGGAAGATGTCTTACATGGTTCATGAATGTAGGGACATTAAAGATCAATGGTAGGTGTGCGAGGATCCTCATCGATACCGGGGCACAACGCTCATTTGTGAGTGAGGCGTTCGCCGGGGGCCTGGACGTGCCATTGACACCTATGACGCAAACGTTGCTAGTCTCCACACCGTTAGGGGACGATGTGGAGAGAAATCATTACTATCCATCATGTGAGGTGGAAGTGACGGGTCAACCTTTGACTTGTGATTTCGTACCTCTAAGCATGTTGGAGTTCGATGCAATCCTAGGAATGGATTGGCTTGAGAAGCACCATGCTCGAGTAGATTGCTACACCAAGGTGTTGGAGCTCGAGGATGAGCAAGGAAACATGCTACGTTTTGAAGGAGATCGGGGGAAATCTAATGCTTGTATCATATCCGTGATGAGAGCACGAAAGATGATGAGGAAGGGATGCCACGCATACCTTGCTTACGTGGTAGATGATACGAAGAAAGAAGTCGACATCAAGGATGTTCGAGTCGTGTGCAAGTACCCGGACGTCTTTCCCAAGGACCTACCGGGGCTTCCACCCGATAGAGAGATTGAATTTGTAATCGAAGTGGAGCCGGGAACCAAACCCATCTCGATTCCTCCTTATCGAATGGCACCGGCCGAACTTCAAGAGTTGAAGGTCCAACTACAAGAACTATTGGACAACGGGTTCATCAGACCCAGTCATTCACCGTGGGGAGCACCTGTACTATTCGTAAAGAAGAAAGATGGTACACTAAGAATGTGTATCGACTACCGACAGTTGAACAAGGCCACCATCAAGAACAGGTATCCCTTACCGAGGATTGATGACTTGTTCGATCAACTTCGAGGAGCAATAGTGTTCTCGAAGATTGACTTGAGGTCGGGGTATCATCAGTTGAAGATCAAGGAGAGTGACATACCCAAGAGTGCATTTCGCACTAGATATGGTCATTATGAATTCCTTGTGATGTCGTTTGGTTTAACCAACGCACCGGCGGCATTCATGGACTTGATGAACCGTGTGTTTAGTGAATACTTAGACCAATTTGTGATAGTATTCATTGACGACATCTTGATATACTCCAAGAGCGAGGAAGAGCACGAACACCATTTGAGGCTTGTACTGGATCGGCTAAGGGAAAAGCAACTCTTTGCCAAGTTCTCCAAATGCGAATTTTGGCTCAAAGAGATTGGTTTCCTCGGTCATGTCATATCCGGTTCAGGTGTTGCTGTGGATAACGCCAAGATAAAAGCGATCATGGATTGGGAGAGACCCAGGAATGCGAAGGAGATACGTAGTTTCCTTGGCTTAGCGGGATACTATCGTAAATTTGTGGAAAAATTCTCCGTATTGGCGTCCCCATTAACGAAGCTCACAAAGAAAGGGGCCAAGTTCATATGGGACGACAAATGTGAGAAGGGGTTCCTTGAATTGAAGAAACGACTTACCGAAGCACCAGTCCTTGCCCTACCCATACAGGGGATAGGGTATGACATTTATAGCGACGCTAGCATCCAAGGGCTTGGATGTGTACTGATGCAAAACGGTAAGGTGATTGCCTATGCTTCTAGGCAATTGAGGAAACACGAGGTGAACTACCCTACTCACGATCTAGAGTTGGGGGCGGTAGTGTTTGCATTGAAGATTTGGAGGCATTATCTCTACGGGGAGACGTGTCACATTTATACTGATCATAAGAGCCTGAAGTATGTATTCACTCAGAAAGAGTTGAATATGAGGCAGAGGAGATGGATGGAGTTGATCAAGGACTATGACTTGATCATCGACTATCATCCCGGAAAGGCCAATGTAGTGGCCGACGCACTAAGCAGGAAGAGTACGTCGGGGACGCTACTCATATGTCTACAGGCATTGAGGGCACACATGGAGGTATCCACGAGCGGGGCGCTCATTGCTAGGTTTGAGGTCAGACCTACATTGCTGGGTGAGATCAGTAGATGTCAGGCCATTGACGAGGAGTGTCAGAAGATTCGTGAACGAATCATTGAGGGGCCTGTTGAGAACTTTCGGGTACGTGACGATGGTCTATTATTGTTTAAGGACCGTGTGTGCATACCAAAGAATGAAGACCTCCAGAAGTCTATACTCGAGGAGGCTCATTCTTCAGCTTATGCTATGCATCCAGGAGGTACTAAGATGTACCGGGACCTGAAGGAAAGTTACTGGTGGTCGGGTATGAAGAGAGACATCGCCGAGTATGTGAGTCGATGCCTTACTTGCCAGCAAGTTAAGGCAGAACATCAGCACCCGGCAGGGCTTTTGCAGCCACTCACCATCCCAGAGTGGAAGTGGGAGCACGTGACCATGGACTTCGTGGTGGGACTACCACGAACAGTGAACAACTATGATGCAGTTTGGGTAGTAGTTGATAGGCTCACCAAGAGTGCACACTTTTTGCCTGTCAACATTTCTTATCCTCTTGAAAGATTAGCCAAGCTATACACGGAGGAGATTGTGAGATTACATGGAGTCCCCATATCCATTGTCTCGGATAGGGATCCACGATTCACATCCCGATTTTGGCCAAAGTTTCAAGCATCTTTGGGGACTAAACTGAAGTTTAGCACAGCTTTTCACCCACAGACGGATGGACAGTCCGAGCGGGTGATACAGATTTTGGAAGACATGCTTAGGGCATGTGCGTTGGAGTTCCAAGGAAGTTGGGACAAGCATTTGGCCCTAGTGGAGTTTGCCTATAACAACAGTTATCAGGCAAGTATCGGCATGCCCCCATATGAGGCATTGTATGGGAGGAAGTGCAGAACACCGTTGTGTTGGGACGAGGTTGGCGAGGCCAAACTCGAAGGGATAGAGCTGGTTGAGATCACCAAGGCCAAGGTGAGGATCATTCGGGATAGACTGAAGGCCGCTCAGGACTGACAGAAGAGTTATGCTGATAAACGGCGGAGACCGTTGGAGTTCGAAGTCGGTGATGAGGTCTTCCTAAGGATTTCTCCTTGGAAGGGCATCATCCGATTCGTATCGAGGGGGAAGCTTAACCCCCGATACATAGGTCCGTTTGAGATCCTTGAAAGGATCGGGGCCGTGGCTTACCGTCTCAAGTTGACGCCTGAACTTGAGAAGATACATGACGTGTTTCATGTATCAATGCTCAAGAAGTACATACGAGACCCATCTCATATTCTTGAGAAACCACCGGTGGAGATCCGTGAGGACTTGCAATATGCGGTGGAACCAGTGAAGATTGTTGGTCAACAAGTGAAGAAACTTAGGAACAAGGAGATTCCTATGGTGAAGGTTCTTTGGAGGAGTGATCGAGTCGAAGAGGAAACTTGGGAGACCGAGGTCTCAATGAGGGAGCAATACCCATTCCTTTTCGATTAGACACGTGGATTTCGGGGACGAAATCCCAAATAAGGGGGGGTGAACTTGTAACACCGTCCCCAAATATATTTACTTTTGTGTAAATAATGTATTGAACCTTATTAAAGGATTAATGAATTTATGAAGTTGTAAATTTTTTATTATTTTTTTCGCGTGGATAGTAAATTGCACGTGGGACCCACACCGGGAGCGGGGGCCGCCCGACACTCCCGAGACCACATATTTTATTCATCTTGGTCAAGATAATATTTATATAGTGGTGGATATTTTATTTGGGTCGTGGAAAGGCGCAGGGTTGACCGATCGGGAAAAGAGGCCCAATTACTGGTACCGACAATTTAACAGATAACAGCCCGAAAATAAATTTCGGAGGCTTATAAATTAAAGTTGGGGAATGTACATTCATTATACATGTCATAATGAGTAAGAGCACATAATATATTTTATTTGACCCGATAAAATAAAATATATTTAAACAGTCCGAAAAATACAACTTTCGGGGCCGATTGTACACTTCGGGACAAAAAGGGTTGACCTCCCACATGAGTGGGGGCCAACCCACGATTTTTACCACTCATAGTTGAAGGTTGGTCGGCTGGTATAGGAAGGGAACATGGGAAGAGGTTTGATAGGAAGTAAATAGCATCAAAGGTACCTAGGTGGACCCCCATTTTTGCACTCATTGGATCAATGAGACAAAAGTCCATCCCCATCCCTCTCCCCCCCTCCCTATCTCGGCCAAGACACAGCAACCAAGAGCAAGAAAACTCCTCATCCTCCTCCCTCCATTGTTGAAGAGAACTCATCAAAGAAGAATCACCCAAAAAGGAGCTAAAGTGCTAAAAGTGTGAAATAATTAAGGTAATGACCTTATTATAACTTCTTCTCTATTTTCCTTCTACCGTATGAGATATATATCATGTGAAGCATCCTTAAGAGGGTTCTACATGTTATAAGTATGGATTTATGGGTTGGAAGGTGGTTCTACGTCCAAGAACGGACGTAGAAGCCAAAACGACCGGTTCACCGGAAAATAACCTTTTTGAGGTTATTTGTATTAATATGGGTTTTATGATTATAAAACCTTGTTAGGCACTTGTAAAGGGTATTTCAAGTGATTTCACAAGTTGGAAAAAGTCGCCGGAGTTGTCGCCGGAGTTGACCAAGTCGCCGGAGCTTCACCGGAGTTCAACCAAGAAGGGTAGAACTTCTTAACGCTAGTTCAAGGTGAGTGGACGGCTTAATATCTTATAACTTTTGGGTTAATTATGAGATTACCTAAATAAATGTTATATGTGTTCAAAATGATGTTTAAAAGATATTTAAACATGTGATTAGCCAACATTATCAAGTTGTATGAAAAGAATTAATTGATTATGCATGAAATATGATATGAGAAATTATATAAAATGCACATTTGCTTGAAGTGTAAACGAAGCTCAAATGAGCATTATTGACTTAATTATATGATGATTAAGTTGATATGTACAAGGCTTGAATTGGCGGTCAACGACAACGTTGACCGATGGATGATGGATTAATTAATATCGGTTGATGTTAGTTAATTATACATTTATATAAATGCATGGCTTTGCATGGATAGTGATACATAAGATTTATGTATTGGATTAGTTATGAGTAACTAAGGATGATATAGACTCTATCTAGGTTGATAGGAGGTTGATCATAGGAAAACTTGGTGGAGGACCCTAGTACTTAAAAAGTACTTAACACTCAAACTTGGTGGAGGACCCTAGTACTTAAAAAGTACTTAACACTCAAACTTGGTGGAGGACCCTAGGACTTAAAGTCCTTAACACTCAAACTCGGTGGAGGACCCTAGTACTTAAAAAGTACTTAACACTCAAACTTGGTGGAGGACCCTAGGACTTAAAGTCCTTAACACTCAAACTCGGTGGAGGACCCTAGTACTTAAAAAGTACTTAACACTCAAACTTGGTGGAGGACCCTAGGACTTAAAAGTCCTTAACACTCAAACTTGGTGGAGGACCCTAGTACTTAAAAGTACTTAACACTCAAAACTTGGTGGAGGACCCTAGGACTTATGAGTCCTTAACACTCACAAACCGGTGGAGTATCCAAGGATTTTGATCCTAAAACTCATAGATTATGATATACAAATAGGGACAAGGAGGAGTTCTATACACTCATAGGTATATGGATGGGTTGGGGTTTTTAGTCAAGAATATTGACTATTACTATTTTTCCTGAATAAAATGGTGATCTACGGATCGGATATTTTCCAAGTACATATATACTAATAAGTATTTCATAACTTGGGGGAAGACTATTTACTTAAGTATCACCCTATGTTAGGGTCTTATACTTGAAACGCTAGTTATTCTATATTTAGCCTGCTACTCGCTCGGTACTTGTACTGACCCCTTCGGGGGGCCCCACCATTTTCAGGTTGAAGCTAGGGCTTGCTACCTGCACCTTTCTACGGGTGACATCAAGTCAAGGAAGACGTGGTTCGTGCTTCCTCATTTCCTTTCAAATTACTAAACATTGCTCATGGATATTTTTATTTGTTATAAACTACTTTTGGGGCTTGCATGCCCATGTTGTTGGCCGGTTGTGGCTAATGACTTACCACTGAATATTTCCGCTATTCATTGGTTTAAATGTGATGTTGTTATGTATGTTTACTACTGAGTATGGATGGATTGTTTTCTCAAACGCCTTGTGTAATTAAGTGAGGTTGACTCGCGGGTGACGTCACTCAATTATACGGCGGTTGTACACGTGCTTGGATCGCGGTCTGGGGCGTGACATTGATAGCTTCCGTTGGGTACCAACTTTAAAATTATATTTGACCTATAGTTGACCGAGGGTTATCACGACTAAGGTCGGTAATGTAATTGTTAAGTTTAAATGTCTCGATTAGTAATTCGAGTTCTGGCGGGACCCGACACTAGTTGTATGAGCATGACTTGGACCCGGAGCGGTCCATTCATGGTTTGGGTTAGACGGGAAGCCTTGATAAAGGTTAGCCCTAAGTGGATTTGAGTATGACGATACAAGCTATTTTGCTAAAGAACTTGCACGGGAAGATAAGGTAACAAGGGCAAGTATAGTCCTTGAGGTGTGTTTAACCTCAAGTAAAGTACACATAGGTAACAAGGGCAAGTGTAGTCCTTGAGGTGTGTTTAACCTCCAGTAAAGTACACATAGGTAACAAGGACAAGTGTAATCCTTGAAGTGTGTTTAACCTCTAGTAATGTACACATAGGTAACAAGGGCAAGTGTAGTCCTTGAGGTGTGTTTAACCTCCAGTAAATTACACATAGGTAACTAGGGCAAATGCAGTCCTTGACGTGAGTTAACCTCCATCAAATTGCATATACGTAACAAGGGCAAATGTAGTCCTTGCGGTGTGTTTAACCTCCATCAAATTGCATATAGGTAACAAGGGCAAATGCAGTCCTTGAGGTGTGTTAACCTCCATCAAAGTGCATATAGGTAACAAGGGCAAGTGTAGTCTTTGAGGTGTGTTCAACCTCCATCAAATTACACATATAGGTAACAAGGGCCCGTGTAGTCCTTGAGGTGTGTTAACCTCCAGTAACTTACACATAGGATGAGGGTGTATGCGTACTCCTCAAGGCGGGGTTTGTCACGCCCCAGACCGCAATCCAAACGCGTGTACAACCGCCGTATAATCAAGTGACATTACCCGCGAGTCCACCTCACTTAATTACACAAGGCGTTCGAGAAGAATAATCCATCCATACTCAGTAGTAAACATACATAACAACATCTCATTTAAACCAATGAATAGCGGAAATATTCAACGGTAAGTCATAAGCCACAACCGGCCAACAACAAGGGCATGCAAGCCTAAAAAATAGTTTATAGTAGAACAAATATCCATGAGCAAGTGTTCGGTAGTTTGAAAGAAAATAAGGAAGCACGAACCACGTCTTCCTGATTTGATATCACCCGTAAGAAGGTGCAAGTAGCAAGTCCTAGCTTCAACCTGAAAATGGTGGGCCCCCCCGAAGGGGTCAGTACAAGTACCGAGCGAGTAGCAGGCTAAATATAGAATAACTAGCGTTTCAAGTATAAGACCCAAACATAGGGTGATACTTAAATAAATAGTCTTTCCCCCAAGTTATGAAATACTTATTAGTATATATATACTTGGAAAATATTCGACCCGTAGATCACTGTTTTATTTGGGAAAAATAGTAATAGTCAATATTCTTGACTAAAAACCCCAACCCACCCATATACCTATGAGTGTATAGGACTCCTCCTTGTCCCTATTTCAATATCATAATCTATGAGTTTTGAGGATCATAATCCTTGGGTACTCCACCAGTTTGTGAGTGTTAAGGACTCATAAGTCCTAGGGTCCTCCACCAAGTTTTGAGTGTTAAGTACTTTTAAGTACTAGGGTCCTCCACCAAGTTTGAGTATTAAGGACTTTTAAGTCCTAGGGTCCTCCACCAAGTTTTGAGTGTTAAGTACTTTTAAGTACTAGGGTCCTCCACCAAGTTTTGAGTGTTAAGTACTTTTAAGTACTAGGGTCCTCCACCAAGTTTTGAGTGTTAAGTACTTTTAAGTACTAGGGTCCTCCACCAAGTTTTGAGTGTTAAGTACTTTTAAGTACTAGGGTCCTCCACCAAGTTTTCCTATGATCAACCTCCTATCAACCTAGATAGAGTCTATATCATACTTAGTCATTCATAACTAGTTCAATACATAAAACTTATGTATCACAATTCATGCAAAGTCATGCAATTATATAAATGTACAATTAACTAATATCAACCGATATTAATTAATCCATTATCCATCGGTCAACGTTGTCGTTGACCGCCATTCAAGCCTTGTACATATCGACTTAATCATCATATAATTAAGTTAATAATAATCCTTTGTGCTTCTTTCACATTCCCAACAAATATGCATTTCATATTATTTCTCATATCATATTTCATGTATAAACAATTAGTTCCTTTCATACAAACTTAACCCTATTGGCTAATCACATGTTTAAATATCTTTTAAACATCATTATGAACTCATATAACATTTATTTAGGTAATCTTATAATTAACCCAAAAGTTATAAGATATTAAGCCGTCCACTCACCTTGAACTAGCGTTATGAAGTTCTACCCTTCTTGGTTGAACTCCGGTGAAACTCCGGCGACTTTTGGTCAACTCCGGCGACAACTCCGGCGATTTTTCCAACTTTGTGAAATCACTTGAAATACCCTCTACAAGTGCCTAACAAGGTTTTATAACCATAAAACCCATATTAATACAAATAACCTCTAAAAGGTTATTTTCCGGTGAACCGGTCGTTTTGGCTCCTAAGTCCGTTCTTGGACGTAGAACCACCTTTCAACCCATAAATCCATACTTATAACATGTAGAACCCTCTTAAGGATTCTTCACATGATATATATCTCATATGGTAGAAGAAAAATAAAGAAGAAGTTATAATAAGGTCATTACCTTAATTATTTCACACTTTTAGCACTTTAGCTCCTTTTTTGGGTGATTCTTCCTTGATGAGCTCTCTTCAACAATGGAAGAAAGAGGCTGGGAATCACTCTTGCTCTTGCTGGAAGGAGGCTGGCCGAAATATTGGGAAGAGAGGAGGATAGGGGTTGTCCTTTGTCTCATTGACCAATGAGTATACATGGGGGTCCACTTCTTTTGTTTGATGCCTTTTATTTCACTTCATACACACCTCTACCATTCCTCCCTATCACTCCAGCCGGCCAAGCCCTCAATTTGAGTGGCAAAAAAAGTGGGTTGGCCCCCACTCATGTGGGAGGTCAACCCCTTTTGTCCCGAAGTGTACGATCGATCCCGAAAGTTGTATTTTTTTGGACTGTTTTAAATATATTTTATTTTATCGGGTCAAATAAAATATATTATGTGCTCTTACTCATTATGACATGTATAATGAATATACATTCCACAACTTTAATTTATAAGCCTCCGAACTTCAGTTCGGGCTGTTATCTGTTAAATTACCAGTACCGGTAATTTGGGCTTCTTTTGACCAATCGGTCAACTCCGGGCCTTTCCATGGCCCAAATGAAATATCCACCACTATATATTTATTATCTAGACCAAGATGAATAAAATATATGGTCTCGGGAATGTCGGGCGGCCCCCGCTCCCGGTGTGGGTCCCACGTGCAATTTACTATTCACGCGAAAGAATTAATAAAAATTGACAACTTCGTAAATTCATAAATCATTCCATAAGGTTTATTACATCATTTACGTGAAAGCAAATACATTTGGGGACGGTGTTACAAGTTCCCCCCCCCCCTTATTTGGGATTTCGTCCCCGAAATCCGTGTGTCTAATCGAAAAGAAACGGGTATTGCTCCCTCATTGAGACCTCGGTCTCCCATGTTTCTTCTTCGACTCGATCACTCCTCCAAAGAACCTTTACCATAGGAATCTCCTTATTCCTAAGTTTCTTCACTTGTTGACCTACTATCTTCATCGGCTCTACCGCATATTGCAAATCCTCACGGATCTCTACCGGTGGTTTCTTAAGAATATGAGATGGGTCCCGTATGTACTTCTTGAGCATCGATACATGAAACACGTCATGTATCTTCTCAAGTTCTGGTGTTAACTTGAGACGATAAGCCACGGCCCCAATCCTTTCAAGGATTTCAAATGGACCAATGTATCGGGGGTTAAGCTTTCCCCTCGATACAAATCGAATGATGCCCTTCCAAGGAGAAATCCTTAGGAAGACCTCATCACCGACTTCGAACTCCAACGGTCTCCGCCGTTTATCGACATAACTCTTCTGTCGGTCCTGAGCAGCCTTCAATCTATCCCGAATGATCCTTACCTTGGCCTTGGTGATCTCAACCAGCTCTATCCCTTCGAGTTTGGCCTCGCCAACCTCGTCCCAACACAACGGTGTTCTGCATTTCCTCCCATACAATGCCTCATATGGAGGCATGCCGATACTTGCTTGATAACTGTTGTTATAAGCAAACTCCACTAGAGCCAAATGCTTGTCCCAACTTCCTTGGAACTCCAAAGCACATGCCCTAAGCATATCTTCCAAAATCTGTATCACCCGCTCGGACTGTCCATCCGTCTGTGGGTGAAAAGCTGTGCTAAACTTCAGTTTAGTTCCTAAAGATGCCTGAAACTTTGGCCAAAATCGGGATGTGAATCGTGGATCCCTATCCGAGACAATGAATATTGGGACTCCATGTAATCTCACAATCTCCTCCGTGTATAGCTTGGCCAATCTTTCAAGAGGATAAGTAATGTTGATAGGCAAAAAGTGTGCACTCTTGGTGAGCCTATCAACCACTACCCAAACTGCATCATAGTTGTTCACCGTTCGTGGTAGCCCCACCACGAAGTCCATGGTCACGTGCTCCCACTTCCACTCTGGGATGGTGAGTGGTTGCAAAAGCCCTGCCGGGTGCTGGTGTTCTGCCTTAACTTGCTGGCAAGTAAGGCATCGACTCACATACTCAGCGATGTCTCTCTTCATACCTGACCACCAGTAACTTTCCTTCAAATCTCGGTACATCTTAGTACCTCCTGGATGCATAGCATAAGCTGAAGAATGAGCCTCCTCAAGTATAGATTTCTGGAGTTCCTCATTCCTTGGTATGCACACACGATCCTTAAACAATAAAAGACCGTCATCACGTACCCGAAAATTCTCAACGGGTCCTTCAAGGATCCTTTCACGGATCTTCTGACATTCCTCATCAATGGCCTGACTTCGACTAATCTCGCCCAATAGGGTGGGCCTAACCTCAAATTGAGCAATGAGAGCCCCGCACGTGGACACCTCCACGCGTGCCCTTAATGCCTGCAGACAAGTAAGTAACGTCCCTGACGTACTCTTCCTGCTCAGTGCGTCGGCCACTACATTGGCCTTTCCGGGATGATAGTCGATGATCAAGTCATAGTCCTTGATCAACTCCATCCATCTCCTCTGTCTCATATTCAACTCTTTCTGAGTGAATACATACTTCAAGCTCTTATGATCAGTGTAAATGTGACACGTCTCCCCGTAGAGATAATGCCTCCAAATCTTCAATGCAAACACAACCGCCCCCAGCTCTAGATCGTGGGTAGGGTAGTTCACCCCGTGTTTCCTCAATTGCCTAGAAGCATAGGCAATCACTTTACCGTTTTGCATTAGTACACATCCAAGCCCTTGGATGCTAGCATCGCTGTAGATGTCATACCCTATCCCCTGTATGGGTAGGGCAAGGACTGGTGCTTCGGTAAGTCGTTTCTTCAATTCAAGGAACCC